ATATATATATATATATATATATATGAGTGGTGGTTCATTTTCATCATGGAAAATGTGGATTTTGGGTTACTTTTTTTAACCCAAAAATTGGGGATTTTTTAAAATCAGGGAAAACCAGGATCCCTGCTGATTTCATATGTTTGGTTTACACACTCACTCTAAGTGCTTGTATTTGAGTGCATCTTTGTCAGGTGTTCCAGATAATTAGAGTGACAGGAATGGGCACATTCATTGGCTGAGACTAGCTGTTACAGGCTGCTGTATAAAGAAGCCCCACTTTTTCAGACACAGGCAATGATTCTGGGATGTCTCCACCCACACACTCCAAAATCAAGACAACCAAAGTCAGTTCCCACTTCTGAAAAACCTGGGCTAAGCAATTTTAGCTTTGTGCTCTGCTGCTTGCCGTGACTAACAGAAAGCTCTAGAGAATTAGAGTACACACCACTGCCTCATAAAGAAAAATGGATTTGCACAAACTGTCAAAATTATAGCTAGATTTCAGCATAACTTCCACAGAAAACCCTAGCTAGCAAAGTTATAGAGATCTCTGCTCCAGTGCCTCTGAATGTTTTTATAAAGTATTTTTTTAGAAGAGTTGAAAAATAAATGCCTTTGTGCTAAAAAGAATGCGTCAAGTTTATGCTTGATGTAACTTCATTGATATCATTAGCAAAAAGCTATGCTTATAGAAGAAATCTTATACACTGCAAGAAAAAATGTTTATTTGGAGAGAACCCATCACTATTGTAGCTTCACAGACAAATCCAGATCTGACCGATTCTGACCAATCCACAGGCAGCAAATGCTTCACCAAAGATCAGTTTTGTCCCCATGTATTTTTCTAGTGATGTCTCACTACAGTTACAGATACTAGCATGAAACAGAAACAAGACCCCAGTGCTCCAGTACTGTAAGTCAGAGCTGGTGAAGACACCAGCAGGGTCCACGTGCCATGGGGGCCACACGAGAGGGCCATGCCCCCCTCCCTCATCATCTCCCGAGCTGCAAAGTCTTCTGGCATCGTGTGGACAAGCAGCTCCTCAACACCTCCTTAGCTGCAGACTCCCTTGCTGCACTGTGCCACGGGCTCCCCCAGCACTGCAGGATGCACCAGCCTGCCATGCCTCACACCCTGTGACAGGCACAGGAGGTGAAAACCAGAGAAGAGAGGGAGAGCCTGCAAACCTTGGCAGCAGCAGCCAGCGGTGAGGGAGGAATGGCAGCCAGGGGAAGCCCAAGGGCTGCAGATCACCTCCCTCACAGGCCACATGCCCTGCTGTGAGCAAGTGTTGTTAGATAACCCAACTGGAAGTCATCTCATTGCCACCATCACCACCACCACCACCCTGAAACTTAGGGAGGAGAGATGCTGATTTCCACATCTTCAACATATTGTGGAGATCTGTCGTCAGGCCCAGTCTCAGCCTCCTCAAACGGCATAAAGGTACGGTGTAAAACCCGTTATCGCTTTTCTTTTGCAGCTGGCTGGCTGTTCCATATGGGATGGCTAGAGTCTGCTTCCTACTGATCTAATTGTCATGTTTTGGGTGATTTCTTCCATATGTGGTGGACATGCTCTATAATAGTTAAATACCAGAAGGACATTTCCCAGCCTACTGAACAGACAACTTCCTTTCCACAAGTCTGAGAATACAAATGTGCCATTTTAATATTCAGTTAACAAAACAAAATATTACTTGCAATGCCATGATGCTCACTCAATTTTTATTCCCAGCAGCTAGATTTTTAACAATTAAATGCAATCACAGCTAATAAGAAACTGGTTTAGGAAAGCGTGGAACACAGTTACTGTAGAAACATGGACTCATAAGAGATTTGCACTGTGACTTTGAAATCTAGTTGCCCATTTCTGGTGGTCCAGGGAGCTAAAAGCCCAATCTCATGCCTTTATTTTGCTACTCTAGAACTTTCTCTCTCAATTACAGACTATTTTCTCTTCATACATATCAAGGACACCAGTAGACCTCTTTCCTGAATACCTTGCTTAGGTTATAACAAGCAGCAAAGAATTCACTGATTTTTGTTATAATTAAAAGTACTACTTTACCCAATACTAAATGCTGTGTGTGCAGAACAAGAGAGCTAGTGGGGGGGGGGGGCAGTTACTTGTTTTTAATAAATATCATGTGTCCCTTGGGT